GTTAGTAAAATAAGTTTTCCTCCATAGATTGTTGCCGCTGTTCTTTTTTCCTCCCTTCCTTCCTTCCCATTTTGTGGGGCCAGGGGAGGTGGGAGGGCAGGGGCCAACTGCCCCCTGTCACAGGCATACATTGATCTAGTTAACTCCGTGACACAAACTAATAACACAGCAGTGACCTTCAGGCACTATCCTTTCTGAGGGCCTCATACATCAGCCCATATTACATGCTCACACCGATCTTTCTGCGGTGAGCGCCGCAGGTGTGCGGCACTGCAGCACGTGCAGGAGATCACTGCTGCACTGTGGGGTTCTGTCTGCAGCCTAACAGAGGTGACAAAGCCCACAGCTTGAGCCGGCCAGCCTGAAGGAAAAGATCAGCTCCGTTCTGAGCAGATGAGGTGGGAGCCTGGTGTCACACAATGCCACCCACGGAGGGGTACGAGAACCAAGAAATAATAATAAATAAAATATAATCAAACTAGATATAACTGACACTGAATGGAATGCAAAGCATGGCACAGAGAAGTAACAAGATAAACTATTAATGAACCTCACTAAGAGGTGTGCTATTTTCAGCACCCCCTGAAGTTCAATCAGCTTGTTTGTAGAAATTTACACAAAAATTAATTTTAAATTGCTTTAGGGCAAACAATGTAGGTGAGAAGCTCTTAACACTAGAAGTTCGTGGTTGTCCCATACTTCATACTGAGAATTCTTCTTTTTTTTTTTTTTCCCAAGCAAAGCTCTCTGTCTGACCCAACTGAAGGGATATTACAGACACATGGAAAGACAGCACAGCTGGGAGCGTGCATTCAGCCATGAGCCTGGGGCTTTACTTACCATTGCCTGTTCTATTTTGTTGTCAATGGCAACAACGCTTGCACCAGACGCGCTGTAAATATAAGCAGAAAACTTTGTTAGAGCATTACTGCATCGTTTGTTTCAAACTATGCACCTGTTGGCACCCACAGGATTCCCGGAGCATTATTTCCAAGGCCAAAGCTGCAGTGTCTCACATCCACACAGAGTTGTGTGCCATCCCCCTCCCCACACAGCACAGTTGGAGCTCCTAAGAGACACTGCACCTTCAGTTTATCATTCCTCAGAAGAGACGTATGACACCCACAAGCAGAACAGCGCACTGGAACAAACAATAAATTAGCTGCTTTCATTCCCTGCCTCATTTTCCAGCTACCTTTGCTGGGGAGAAAACAGATTCATCGCTACTCATGGGGTCCTCACCTCTAGTTTAATTTCCACTAAATTGTTTTTTAAAAGCTCTGAAGAAAAAAAAGTTTCATAGTGTTTGTCCTCCAGCTCCATTTAAAATTACTTCCTATAAAAAATATTCCCATCAGCACTGCCTTTACAGCTCTGCAACCGAGCAGCAACAGCTGATAGCAGAGAGTTGCCCGTGTGCGGGGCTCCACAAGAGCACTGCCCAGACAGATTTCAGTGCATTCTCAGCAGAATGCCTCTAACCATCTGAACGCAGTGCGGGCAGTGTGAGCAGCCTCACTGCACAGCCGCAGTACTGCAGAGCAGTCTGACAGAACAGCTCCATCACTGGGACAGGAGAGAGGTATTCACTGCAGACACATGGCGTTGAAGTGAACCTTTCAATCCCACATTAGGGCAATTCAAGCCTTCCTATGTTTAGGCTGTTTTCAAGCCACCCTACTGAAACACAAAATAATCACTTTTAACTCTCCAGAGTCAGACTTGTGGGGCCAGAGAGGCACTGCCCACTCTGCAGGCTGAGCTCCCCATTCGGAACAGAGCTGCAGTCCATCCCAGGGCACATTGCAGGGCATCGGCTCCCCCAGCAGCATGCTGCCCTCCCACCTCACCTCCCAGCGATCCCACTGCAGCCCACAGCCCCATGCCTGGCACAGGGCTGCAGCTACACGCTGCATGCGATAGCTGCCAACACGCTGCCCACAGAGCGAGCTGCTATCAGCACGGCGCAGCCATGGCACAAAAAGCTGGCGTGCAGGAAAAGGCAAGGTTTGCAGCCAGGCTCGGAAACTTACCTCTTTGCAAATACGTAACACACACTGAAATCACACTATAAGGAAAACTTGCTTATTGCTTTCTACAGTGAGTAGCAGCAGCATGCTCAGAAATATTAGTTACACACAGGAAACCAAACCCAGCTGCTGGAAGAATACACTGCTCTTTGGACAAGTCCATTTTACCCAGGCTCACAGGAACACCAACGCCGATCACTATACAAAGAGGGAATCAGCTTTTGAGACTGAGAAAGTAACAGCCTTCATGGCTAAACCAACAAAGCCTGCATTCCATAAGTAAAACGCTGAGTGTTTAACAACAAAATTGCTCCAGGTGACACAGGCCCGACTTCAACACCCCTACACAAATGCATGTAGTATGGGAAACAGGCAGGGACAAATGAACTGCTGGCCTCATCTCAGCACCCTGGTACGACAGGCTCAGCAAGACGTGGGGTGTTGGGATGGACGGCTCAGGTACTCAGCACAGCTGGGCAGGAAAGGAGAGGAGGTGAGGCAGCCCTCTACATCTGGGAAGGTCCGGACTGCATGGAGCTTGATCATGGTGATGAAAGGGTTGAGTGCCTCCAGGTAAGAAGCAGGGGAAAGATGCCACAGTAGGAGTTTGTTATGGACAATCCAACCAGAACAAAGAAAACGACAAGTATTCTATAAGCAGCTAGCAGAAGTGTCACAATCAGTATGGCAGAAGGAGGGAACTCAACACCAGAGAAGGTCAGGCAGCAGGTCAACCTGAGTGCCATCACACTGCAAACATTGGACAAGCAGGTAATCAGAGCCTGTCAGCATGGATTTGTGAAAGGCAAGTCCCACCTGACTAACTCCATCTCCTTCTGTGACAACATGACCCACTTCAGGGATAAGGAATGGCTGCTGAAGATGTTTTCTCAGACTTCAGCACAGCACTGATACTGTTTCCCACAGAACTTCTCCACGAGAAACTGCCTTACAGACGGACTGCTGTTCACCAGGTAGAAACCTGGCTGCATGGCTGGGCCCAGGTCGCTGTGAATGGAGTTAAACCCAGGGAGCTGTACAGGCTGGGGGCACTGCAGCTAGGGGTGCTGCCAGCAGCTGCCTGAACACAAAGCCAGCGCATGCCTGCGTGGCCAGGAACATCCAGGCCTGTGCCAGAAATAGTATGGCCAGCAGGACCAGGGAAACGACATCCCTGTTCTCAGCCCTGGTGGGACTGCATCTCAAATACTACACCCAGTTGGGGTCCCTCACTGCAGGAAGGATGCTGGGCTGCTGAAGCACATACAGAGAAGAGCAGCACAGCTGTAAGGGAACTGGAAAACAGCTCATGGGCAGAGGCTTGGGTTGGAGGTGGCTTCAGGGCCCTCCCCCATGTTCAACACATAAGGCTGTACCCATGTGGGTACCCACCTCTTTTCTCAGTGAGGAGGTACAGGATGCGAGGGAATGGCCTCAAGATCCACCAGGGCAGTTCTGGTTGGATGTGGGCAGGCACTGGGATGAACTGCCCAGGGCATCCCTGGGGGGCTGGGGCTGCTTGGCCTGAATTCCCTGCCCCAGGGGTACATCGGGTGCCTGCCTTCTGCTGCAGCTCTATTGAAGCCACACTATCACTGGCTATCAAACAAGTACCTGTTTCCCCAGGACAAGCAAACTTTCTACAGTTTTACATGAAGCTCTGAAGATCAATTATTCAATACAACATAAGAATTGATCTCAGAGGCAATGCGTGAGTTTTTATGAAATATCTGAACTCGTTAGGGGAAAAACAAGACCTGGGTTAGTTGAATTGGTTTGACGTTTGGACAGGGATGTACAACGTGGCTCCTTCGTAGTCTTGATGAGATCAAGCTATGCTAACAAAATAAACCATTTTTCCCCCCCCCATGTATGAGGGTAGTCACATTGCCCATGCCTACCGTGAGAAGCAAATGTCAGAAAGAAATGGAGTCCTGATATTTTTGTTATCTTTTAAAAATTTCAGATGGAGATTTAAGACTTTTAATTTCAAATCAGGAAAGCTCCACCTGAAAATAACTACCAATAAGGCTGCAATCAAAGCACAAGATGTTACACTGGCCATCCCCCTCAAAGAGGAGCACCTCATCTGACAGACAGCTGCAGCATGGGGAAAAGAAGTTCAACACAGCCTGCCATGGGGAGACCTCATCCAACTCACTGCTTTCGCATGAGAAGGATGTTTAGCAGCAACATGCAAAGTACACATCTCACACATGATGAGAAAAATCCACATCCTGTGAACTTACACTGTGAAAGTTTAATCTTTCATACAAATACGCAGTGGAAGCTTAATCATACTGCCTGGAATTCAAGTTTACCAAAAATAACAGCTATGTTTTAGGAAAACCCACCTGAAGATCCTATGCTACCAGTGCTGCCCTGGGAAAATTCACAGAAGAGTCATCATCCAGATTCATGAGAAAATGCCAAGAAAGCCTCAATTCTCTTGTCAGCCTTCTCTGTACAGGCACCAGAGATGGGCATTATGCTGAGCTCTGAGCAACACCATGTCAGAATTCAGCAGGGAAAGCACCTGAACACTTCTCATGAGCATCTCAGTAACAATGAGTATTTCACTGACATTCAATGGCTGAATGCCCTCAGCCCCCTTCCCTGCCCCAGCGTGTCCATGAAAAATACCTATCTCTGTTTCACTTGATATTTAGCAATATTTTACTGTCTATTCTGACAGCGTGTGGTTAGCTTTGCTGGGCTCAAACAGCCCCAGGAGATGGCTGCTCACACGAGGAGAACCTCCATTTGTGCAGAACAGAACAACTTACCATTAGTAGGAAGATCATCTCCTACCAAATTCCTGAGGTTCACAAACTAGCTTTGAAGGAGCTGCAGAATGCAATTAAAAAGCCTGCTTGGGCTTATGTTGTGCAGCATGGGAACCCCTACATTTTAGAATGGGGAAACAAAGGCATTCTAAGGAATTCAGAAGAATGCTTACTTTTATCAGGAAGTGTTCAACTGCAAAGACAGGAGGATACCTCCACAAGAAAGCACTTACATTGCTGTACTTCCTTTTTGTAAACACCCCTGTATTCCACATTTCCAGTACTTGTTTTGGACATTATACACAAACCTAGGATTTGCAAAGCCTGCATCTTAATTGCAAACAATTTTTATCGGTTTTGTTTCTTTTTTGTTTGTTTTTCAATCTGCTTCCACATCTTAAGAATCAACGGTTTCAAGTAAAGAGACACCAAAACAGAGAAACAAGCAAAGGATAAACCTCTAAGTGTATTTCTGGCTGCAGTGCCAAAACCTTATGCAAATCCCTACACTTTGTTTCACTGCTATAAGGGCCGCCCTGAACCCCAGCGCCGACACAGCCCCACACACACAGGGCAGCAGCAGCAGCTCATGCTTAACACACAGCATTGCTCTGTACAGCTCCATCCAACAAGGCAGAAGTGCTTTTTCAAACCCTGCCCAATGCCAGAACGTCAACAAAACCCAGCAGGATGCATTAGTACTGCATTCAGCCAGAACTGTACCATACACAAATTACTGCCAAGCAAACTTGGAAGGATTCAGTTAAGTTTTGGTGAGGTGAAGAGCCTTCTCAAGTCAAACACAGTTGTTACAATGATGACACCGTTATCAGTGCTCAAATAACTGAACAAAATCCACACTCCTTAGAGCTTGCTAAGCAGAAGTGTTGTGACAGGCCAGAGCATCACAAGACATGGAGCCACAATCACTAAGACTTAACACTAACAAAAAATAAACCTTAAAAATCATTAAAGTGTGGGGAAGAAGCAGCTCGCAGCTACTGATGAATTAGTAATGCATCTCTGACAAGCCATATCCATAGCAAATATGACTTTGTCGTACCTCACTGCAGTTT